TTTCTTCAGTTCCCCCAGCTTGAGAAATGCTGAGTGTGTTCTTCCTTTTTGGTTTTCTGACTCCAGATCTTTGCACATTTTGTTATAATATTTGACTTTGTCTACTTGAGCTGACCTTTGAAATTTTCTGTTCAGCTCTTGTTACCTCCTCATTTCTTCTATTTGCTTTAGTATCTCTATGCTGGAGAGCAAGTTTCAATGTCTTTTCTGACATCTATTTTGATCTTTTCCTTCTTCTTGTCTTCTAAGTGACTTTTTGTTTTCTTTATGTATGATGTTCTTGATGTCATCCCATAACTCTTCTGGTCTTCAGTCTTTAGTATTTAATGTATCAAATCTGTTCTTCAGATGATCTCTAAATTCAGGTGGGAAATATTCAAGGTCATATTTTGGCTCTCACTTGTTTTTATTTTCTTCAGCTTCAGTTTGAATTTGCATATGAGTAATTGATGTTCTGTTCCACAGTCTGCCCCTGGCCTTGTTTTGACTTATGATATGGAGCTTTTCCATCGGCTCTTTCCGCAGATGTAGTCAGTTTGACTTCTGTGTATTCCATCTGGTGAAATCCATGTATATCTAAAGACGGTATCTGAAATGAACAAATCATTGATTTTGCAGAATTCTATCATGTGATCTCCAGCATCATTTCTATCACTAAGGCCATATTTTCCAACTAATGATCCTTCCTCTTTGTTCCCCACCTTTGCATTCCAATCACTGGTAATGAGCAATACATCTTGATTGCATGTTTGATCAATTTCAGATTGAAGAAGTTGATAAAATTCTTCTATTTCATCCTTCACTGGCTTTAGTGGTTGGTGCTGTATATTTGAATAATAATAATAGTGGTATTAACTGGTCTTCCCGTTGTTGTTATGTGCTGTGGAGTTGTTTCCAACTCATAGCGACCCTGTACAGGGTTTCCAAAGCTGTAAATCTTTACAGGAGCAGAAAGCCTCATCTTTCTCCTGTGGAACAGCTGGTAGTTTCGAATTGCTGACCCTGAGGTTCACAGCCTAATTCATAACCACTACGCTACCAGAGCTCCTTGGTCTTCCCTATAGGCACATGGATATTATCCTATCAGACAGCGTTGTACCTCATGATTGATCTGGATATGTTCTTTTTGACCATGAATGCAACACCATTCTGCTTCAATTTGTCATTCCCTGCATAGTAAACCATGTAGTTGTCAGATTCAAAATGGCCAATACCAGTCCATTGCAGCTCACTAATGCCCAAAATATCAATGTTTATGTGTTCCATTTCATTTTTGACAATTTCCCTACTTTGCTATATTTTCTTGTTGGATGACTGAGGGGTAAGCTATCTAAACCTGGAGATGTAGTTCTATAAACAGACATTCTTGAATTTTGCATTGGCGCAACACAGTAGGCACTCGGTAAACAAGGGGCTGTTGCAGGTAACCTGGGGCCTCATCCCAGGCCTGTTTCTGTACCTGCGCTCCCTCCTCACACCACTGTCCCCTGCTCCCGCAGGTGGCGTGGACACCGCCGCCGTGGGCTCAGTGTTCGACGTGTCCAACGCCGATCGGCTGGGTTCATCCGAGGTAGAACAGGTGCAGCTCGTGGTGGATGGTGTGAAACTCATGGTGGAGATGGAAAAGAAGCTGGAGAAGGGCGGATCCATTGACGACATGATCCCCGCCCAGAAGTAGACGCCCCGCGCGCCCGCCGCCTACAGCTGGAGCCCCAGCGAATGGGAGGACCGCCTTTCAATAATTGCCCCGCCCGTTCCGCTGGGAACCTCAATTTACAGCCGTTCTGTCACCAGGGGCGTCGGGTTCCAACCCCAACCAAAAGGCTCCATCCTCTGGGCTCCGGCCAATGAAAAACCTCCCTTTTCTTTGGAGCTCCGCATACAACCAGGAGTTCTGACTAATGGGGAGCTCCCTTATCTACTTCTGGAGCTTGGGTTTTTTATCCTCCCAAAGTAATAATAAAATTAATGGTGGCCTTAACTTTGTGGTGCAATAGCTCTGGGGGTGGGTGGGGGGCGGTGAGGGGACGTTTGCAAGTGGCCGTTGTGTGACCTCTAAATGCTTCGCTTTCTCTAGACACGTACTGTTGTTAAGTGCTCTGGTCGGTTCCAACTCATTGTGACCCTGTACAGGGAGTTCGGGTGTGGCGCTGTGAGCTAATGCATCAATCCAGAGGGTTGCGAGTTTGGAACGAACTGCACAACGTGCCGATCTTAATGAAGCTGACATTGAAAACAGCAGAGATGGCCAATGCCTGGATTCAGCCAGACCTGAAACCAGCAGCCGAGATTTTTAAGTAACATAAACTAACAGTTTCCTTTTTGTGTAAGCAGTGTGGTGGTGGTAATCAAGTTGATTCCGACTCTTAGTGAGGCTATCTTTCTTTCTCCAACGGAGTGACTAGTAGATTTGAACATCTGACCTTGAGGTTAGCAGACCAACTCATAATCCACTATGCTACCCAGACTCTATACAAGCAGTGTAGTTGTTAAGTAATGTCAAGTCAGTTCCAACTCATAACAATCCTGTATAGGGTTTTCAAGTAGCGGCTGAGGAGTCTGGACCCCCGACTTTGCTGTTCAAACCAACCTTGAGGTCGAGAGCTTATTCTATGGTTTAGGCAATGTGGTGGTGGTGGTAATGTGCTGTGGAGTTGGTTCAGACTCATAGCGACTGTGCATAGGGTTTCCGAGGTTGTATATCTTACGGGAGCAGAAAGCCTTATCTTTCTCCCATGGAACTGCTGGGGATTAGTCATCAATATGCTACCAGAGCTCCTTGTAAGTAAGTAGTGTAGGATTTAATCCTAATACATCATTTCTCTTGTCAATTCTCCACCCACCCCACACAAAACATCCACAGTGAATTCACCTAACGTTCCCTGAAGATGAACGACCCCACCTCCAGGGTTTTGCCCAAGCTAGGTCAATGCCAGGTGAACTCCTACTCATCCTTCAGAGCCCCCACATGCCAGCATTTCTTCTAGAACCTCCCAAATACCCTCTTTTGGGCCCCAAAGGAATTGGGTTTCTTTCATGATTTTTCCAGAACCCACGTCCCCTTAGACAGGGGCTTCTCGGATCTCCATGTCCAGCACTGGGCTAGGCACAGAGCAGATACTGGTTAAGGACTATTTATTGAATAAATGTACTACTGGAGTAAGAAGTGGTTGAGAGTCCAGTGTAACATGGCAGGCGGGCAGGTGGGCAAGTGAGTGGACGAACAGGGGGCCCCTGACACAGGATCTGGGGGTCTTGTGGATGAGGCCCAGGTCTGTCTCACTTTCTTCCACAATCAGCCTCGACTCTCACCCCCCAACCCTTGCTCCCATTCTGCAGATGAGAAAATGGAGGCTCAGAAAGGAGAAAATATCACTGGCCCAAAGTCACACACCTCCTCTTCATCTCCCTTGCAGGTGAGGGCAGGGAAGGAACACCCTGGGTTCAGCACAGGGGGGGACTGTCCTAAGTTTATTGGGCAACAGGCTGCAGGTGAGTGGGCTGACGGGAGGAAGGTGGGGTATAATAACTTAAAAACCCAGAAGCAACTGCAGCTGCTCCTCAGGACATCTCTGCAGGGGTAGGGGTAGGGGTAGGGGTAGGGGGTATTTACAAGGATTTGTACAAAGTGCCCTGCGCCAGCCTGGGACAGGAATGGGGTTCGAGCATAGGGGGAGGGACAATGGGAAGGAATCTGCCTCTGAACCTCACTTCCAGCCCCCCAATTCTCCAGTCTTTAGCTTCAGTGGTTTGCCCTGCCCCAGGCCAGTATCTCCAGCTGTTGTGAGGAATGGAAGTGTGTGCCCAGAGTCCCTTACTGCTCCTGAGCTGTCCCCCAAAGTCTCCTCAGGTGCCCCATGTCAGGGAAAGGGGGTCCAGGCTGGCTGGAGGCGCTAGGAAAGTGCCAGCTGCCCCCTAACCCCTAAGGCCCCCGCCTTCTCCTGTGCCAAGTGACCCCCAGAGAACAGCAGAGGGAACAATCTCCGCCACCAAATCTCATTCAGGGAAACTGAGGTGAAGACAAAGGGATAGCCCCTTCCCTACCCCTCTCCCCACCTTGGAGAAGCCAGGGAGGGCACGAGAGAGGATGAGGAAAGGGCCCAGGGCCAGGACATCTCAGAGCTCGAGGTCGTTGGAGATGCGGGTGACGAGGGTGCGGAAGGCCAGGGCAGTGCCCGCCACACGGCGGAAGAGAACACCCCGCAGGCCCGGCCGCGGCAGCTGGCAGACCTCCACTTCGAAGTGGGACAGGGGCTCGGGCCCGCCCGCACCCCCGTGCAGGCAGGCCAGCAGGAACGGCTGTGGCTGGCGGCAGCGGCAGCGGGCAGCCGCTGTGGCCTGGCGCAGGGCCGCCATCAGGGCCTCAGGAGGACGAGAGCTGGTCAGCTTCACACTCCAGGGGAATCGGAGCAGCCGGGGGGCGGTTTCCGCTTGATCCCAAGGTAGATGGCAACTGGGGTGGGAAGAGATGCAAAGTCAGGGCTGGGTGATGAGAGGGGGCAGTTCTTCGCATGCTGGGACAGGTACCTAGCTATCCCCTCAGGGTTTATTATCCCCTTTGCCCTCAGTGACAGTGTTTCAGCAGGACAAACAGCTGCCCAGCAAGAGACTACATTTCCCAGCTTCCCCAGCAGCCAGGCATGGCTTTGTCTCTGAATTTCTAAGTAGAAATGAAAGCAGCTCAGGTAGCATAGTGGTTGCAAACCGCAAGGTCAGCAGTTCGAAACTACCAGCTGTTCTGCGGGACAAAGAAGAGGCTTTCTGCTCCCGAACAGATTTGACGGCCTTGGAAATCCCGTACAGGGTCACTATGAGTCGGAACCGACTCCACAGCACATAACAACAACAACAAGTAGAAATGAAGTGTACGCTGTCCACATCATCTCCTTAAAAAGGAAGCTGCGGGCTCTGGACTCTGAGCTAGAATCCACCCACTGTCAAGATAGCTGCAGGGTTCAGGGATGGAGAAGGAGGCAGAAGAACCTTACAGATCCCAATGACTACAGGGAATAGGCCTGGACACACGGTTTGTGTGAGCAAGAAATTCCATCAAGTCTGTCCCTGACTCAAAGCAACCCCACGCACAATGGAAACAAAACACTACAGACTTGCACCAGCCCCTAATTGGTTGCAGATTGGACTACGCTGTGATGCTGTGGGTTCTCTTGCGGCTTATTTTTGGAAGTAATCACCAGACCTTTCTTCCAAGTCCATTTTAAGTCTAGAAACTCTACTGAAACCTGTTCAGCATCTTAACAGCATTCAAGAGTCCACTGATGGCCAAGTAGTGGCTGTGCCCTGATGTAACCTGGCCCAGAATGGAATCTAGGTTCGTGGAAACAAGAATTCTACTACTGAACCACCACTGCCTTAAACCACTTATGCTTGGGGGCTTCTTTGTTATAGCAGCTCCACGCTTATTTCCTAATGAATACATACTTCTGGGAAGAGCCATCACTTCTTCCTTGTAAGACCAAACCTGGTTAATGGAGGCCAGGGCTCATCATTAGAAGCAGTTGTCATTGTTATTTAAAGGCAGTCAAGTCAGTTCCGACTCACAGCGACTCTGTGTATAGAGTCTCCAGGGAGTGGCTGGTGAGATTAAACCACCCACCCTGCCGTCCAGTGTTTATATGCTACACCAGGTCTCCAGAAGCAATAGTGTCCCTCAGGTCTCTGAGGACTCTTGCTTTCTTTTCTTAAAACAACACGATTACTATGACCATTTGATAGTGGATATTTATAATCATTAGTCAAAGTCACCTCTCTCATTTTGCTTTTCCTTCAAAACAGGTTAAGTAGTGGACACTGGACAGTATGTATTATGGGGGATGGGGAACAGCTTCAAAAAGTTCATAGAAAAATTCCTTTGTCTTTCCATTCCATTTTTCCATGAACTTTTTGAAAAGAGACCCCCTTGAACTGGGAGCCCTGGTGGCTCAGTGGGTTCAGCTGCTGACTGGTTCAAACACACCAGACACTGAGAGACAGAAAGATGTGCTAATCTGCCTCCATAAAGAAAACAGCCAAGAAAGCCCTATTTGGCAGTTAGACACTGTCCTATAGGGTAACTGAGTTGGAGTCGACTCAACAACAGTGATTTTCCCCCCAAAAAAAACCTACAACCAAAATTCACAAAAACTTCATAGCCCATAAGGCATTTTATGGGCATCTGAGGATTTTTTTTTTTTTTTTTTTACAAGATATAAAAAGCTGTTATTTCATTTTCATGAAATCAATGTTGCCATGGAGGGAGAGTAGGTCAAGCACTGGGTTGCTAACCGAAAGGTTGGTAGTTCAAACCCACCTGCTGCTCTGCAGAAAAAAGGTAAGATTTATAGGCTCGGAAACCCTAGGGAACCGTTCGACTCTGCCCTCTGAGTTGACAGTAGTGGGCTTGGTTTTGTAACTAAATAATGGGATGTGTGTTTGCCTGGTAGGTTTCTACCAGTTAGGAGAAGAACGCTTAACAACTGAGCCACTAGGGCTCCCATACAAAGGGGTCTCAAATCTTAGACTCAGACTGGATACCACCACTCTCACATCCTGCTCCACCCTGGCTTCCACACAGGACCGGGAAGGCTTCAAAGGTTCATGGAAAATTGGAATAAAAAGATAATGCAACTTTCCCACGAACTTTTAAGTCCCTTCATATTTGATTTGAACACAGCAACCACACCAAGAGGGCCGCATTCTTGAAGACAGGATGCCATCAAAAGAGATGTTGTGCAAGGAACGTTGAACCCGAGCTACGTTATCTGTTTGGGCCTTCGTCTGACAGAATCTGAAATCTCCGCAAGAATCTGAAATCCCTTTGTGCCCCAAGGAATGCCTTGGTGAAGTCTGGGAATCAAGGCTTTAATGGGTTAATGCCCCTGACCAAAATGAGAAATGAAGAGGAAGAGAGACGTTAACGAAGGACAAGAGCTAGGTAGTGATGATTTCAATTCCCCGAGAACCATTTGTGGCTGTGAAGAGCCACCAAGTTGGTTCTGACTCATAGCAACCCTGTATAGGGCTTCCAAGAGGCAGCTGGGGGGTTTGAACTGCTGACCTTGTGGTTCGCAGTCCAGTGCTGATCCTACAGAGCCACACCAAGAAGAGTCTAGTTGTTGAAAGTCACACATGGGAATGGTAAGTATTTCTATCTTTAAATTTGCTGCAGGAGGCATTTTTGATTATCACAATGTCTTGGAATGGGAACACTATTGGCATTTATTAGGTGGGCGTTAGGGATGAGAACAGCTCTATAATATGAGGTGGCCCTGCCCTACAAGGAACTGTCCCCGTTAAAGTGCCGAGAGTCTTGAGAAGCATGCAGATTCATCTGGCTATAAGTAGAGCTGACTGCCCCCTCCACTTATAAGGGCGAGCACATAACCCAGTTTTAGCCAGTGACAACATTCCACCTCTATGATCATTGTGATTGGTCCAAGGATGAGCATATAACCCACTTCTGACCAATCCGTACTCTATTCCTCTGGCCACAAGGATTGGGTTTTGAGAGAAACATGTGACCTATTCCCAGCCAATGAAAATCAGTCCCAGAACTCTGTTATAACTATAGGGCAGGCTGGTAGAATGTCAACAGAGAACTGGGTTCTGCAAACTCTAGTGCTGTCTGTTTTTGTCAATAAAGTTTTATTGCAACATGTTGTGCCTATTGCTTTTTTTGTTATTTTTGGGTCTATGGCTACTTTTGAGGAGCCCTGATAGTTAAGTGCTTAACTGCTAACTGATACGGTGGTGATTCAAATCTACCAGCTGCCCCTGGGAGAAAGATGCAACAGTCTGATTCCATAAAGTTTGTTGTTGTTGTTAAGTGTCGATGAGTCGGTTCTAACTCATAGCGACCCCATATAGGGTTTCCACGGAGCGGCTGGTGAGTTTGAACCACCAACCTTGCAGTTCAAACCGTTGCGTGCTTGTCCTACAGCACCATACGAGGGACCAATTCTTTCTGTCCTATAGGGTCAGCTGGAAGCAACTCGACAGTGGGTTTTTGGTTTGTTGCTTTTGCGACAATGGCAGAACTCAGTGGTTGCTATCCGGCCCTGCATAAGGCTGTCTCCTGGCCCAGAGCTGCTGGCCACCATTTGCCAATGCTGATGAGAGAAAAGAGGTGGATTGTAGTAGAAAGCAGAGGAGCGACTTGGAAGCTGGATCTGTAGATGAGTTAGTTGGCAATGAAATTAAGAGGGTCAAAGGGAGGTGGTCTGAGGTAGGGTGGAAATAGAGGAAATCGAGGCAGTGAGTAAAAGGAACAGGGGCCTGCAGCGTTATTTAGGAAGCTGGCAATGGAGGATAAGACTCAGGTACCATCTAAGGGCTGAGGCAGGTGAAAGGGCTACTTTGTCAGCCAGGGGCAGGTATGTGCACTCACCTTGTGACCTCAGGTCCCCCGATTCTCTCAGGTTCGTCTGCGACCCTAAGGGATGGAGGAGGGAACAGTGTCTATTCTGGGCACAGGAGAGACCCCCTTCCCAAATCCAGTGTCCCTGGAACTCCGGCCAGTCTGTGTAAGCCCTGCTTCCTCCTAGCTGGCTGGAGCTGGGCTGGGGAAGGCTTGGAGTCAGGACGTCACCCCTTCTCCATCTCCAGAAGGGGAGCCATACTGAAATGGTTAGTGGAGGTCACAGGAAAGATACTGGAAAACGTCAGAGTCGAAAGAGAGGGGGTGGGCAGAGACACACACTACATATAGAAGGGGTGACAGAGAAACACACACACACATACACACACACACACACACACACAACCACCCCCTCCCTTCAGGGTTCTGTTCAAATATCCCCTCATCAGTGAGGCCTGCCCACATTTAAAACCATGACCCTCCCTTCCTGCTGTATTCCTCTTCTCAGTGCTTGTCACTCACTACCAGACAGGCTACACGTTTTACTTTTCACTCTAAGGAGTCCTGGTGACGCAGTGGGTACGTTCTCAGCTGCTAACCCAAAGGTCATGGTACAAGGATGTGGTGGCAGTCTGCTCCTATAGCCATTTATAGCTCAGAAACGTTATGGGGTGAGTTCTACTCTATGGGGGTTAGATGGGTTTGTTTTTTATTCTTCTACTGCCTAGGATTTCCAGTAAAACGCTGGCTCCGCCAGAGCAGGACATTTATACTTTTTTTAAAATTCTCTATTCCAGGATCAAGGAGCTCTGGTAGTGTAATGGTTATGAAACGGGCTGCGAACCGTAAGGTCAGCAGTTCGAAACTACCAGCTGCTCCGTGGGAGAAAGATGAGGCTTTCTGTTCCCATAAAGATTTACAGCCTCGGAAACACTGTACAGGGTCGCTATGAGTCGGAATCGACTTCACGGCACTTAACAACAACAACAAAAACAATTTGCTCAATGAGTGAGTGAGGGATCAAATGGACCCCACCCCACTCACAACCACAAAGCCCAACCCCTGCACGCTCAAGCCAGCCACACAGACAGGGAGGTCAAGGGAGGGGGGGTGGGGGGACTTACTGATCTTGGATCCCTGGGGCAGAGAGGCGCCCGAAACGCAGCGGTTAGAGTTCTGCCGTTTAGAGGGATCGAGGGTAACCCTGTAGTTCAACGAGGGCGGTGAGGGGGTCAGGGGAGGAGGAGGAGGAGGAGATGGTGGGCAACAGAAGGCAGAGCAGAGTAGAAGACAGGTTAGCGCCCCCCGTAGATCCCACCAGCTCTGCCCCCACCCCTCCACCTCGCAGGGCTCACCTTCGGGTCAGTTTGGAGGTCAGCTTGGTAAAGAGGTTGGTGGTGGGGCGAGGCCGCCCAGCGGGCAGGGGTGCGGCCTCATGGGCCAGTGTGGGTGAGGCAGGGGGTCCATTCTGTATGCCCCCACCTCCTCCACCCCCTGCCCGTCGGTCCCGGACCTGGCCGCCGTGGAAGGTGCTACGGATGGTAGAGCCGCGAGCCAGGCGGCTCCGCTCCCCTGATGGAGGAGCCAGGCTGTGACTGGAGGGGGAGGCAGGGGGCACCCGTGGGGTGCCCGAGCTGTGGGCAGAGAGGGACAAGTCAGGTCATGGTCCCGGAGGCAGACCAGGGCCCCAATCCTTGATTCCGGTCCCGTGACCAGAAGCCTCAAGCAGCCTGTGCGCCGAGACAGGGTTACCATATATTGTGGTGTAGGCTGTGTTCTCAACAACCCAGGCACATTCTCCTGACTTGTCCTCCCTACCCAGTCTCCCTTCCTTTAAACTGTCCCTTCTTCACATTCTCCCACTCCAAATTAACCCCCATCCCAACTCTCGCCTCTGCAAACTCAGCAATTCAGTAAGATGTTGATAAATCTGTGGCTGAATCCCTTGAGACTCATCATCCAAACGTCTGAAACCAAATCAACTTGGCAAACATTTTGCTATCCAAACTCTCACTATCCAAAATCCGGAAAGGAATAGATTTGAACAAATGGGGTCCCTGCATTTGCGATGACAATTTTTCAATGGATGGAAACAAAAAGTTAAAGTCCCTCTCTGTAACTCTTTCAATATGCTCTGTGGGCAGTGGTCTCCCAGGACCTTCCTCCAGCTCCTCTGGCCCTCCCAGGCATGACACGAAGGACCACCAATTTCATCTTTTCAGAGACCCCAACGCCAATCTGAATCTCAGAGACAGAACCCGGACTGCGGCATGGGCCGCGACATCTCCCCAAGAATCCACCATTCCTGTTTCATGCTTAGAACACAATGAGCCATCCAGAGCCTGAGCCTCTTCTGTGGTCATGTGACTGCCCTTTGGCCAATGGGATCTGAGTGAAAGCGTTGTACCTTTGTGGGTCTTTTTTTTTTTTTTTAAATGCTGTTTACCCTCCACTTTCTTCCCACCCATTTGGCTGCTTGAGAAATGGTGGCCATAGGTTCAGTGGCCTCCGATTCAGAGTTAGACTGTCACGTCACAGAGGAGTAAAACGCCATCTTATTTTGGGGCCTCTTTGTTACAGCACCTGAGTATCCAACTGATGTACTATCTCTTGACCAGAACTTTAAGGCCAAGTAGCATCCTGGTGATGAAAGTTTCTAGAATCAGTCTGGAATCTTTGCGGCCTCAGACAAGTTATGTAACCTCTCTCTGCTTCATTAGCACAGTTGTGAAATGGAGACGATACCAGGATCTATGCCTGAGAGATGCGATCAGCATTAACCCAGCACAAAGGCCTGCCACATGGTTTGCTCCGTGATAAATGTTAGCTCCTGCTATTTTCACTCGGCAATCACCGTGAGCTAGACTTGGTGTCAGGGGTGTGATATGCCAGATCCTCACCTGGAACAGGGCATGCCTCTCTGTGCCTCGAGAGCACATTAGCCCCATTTTACAGAGGAACACATGGAAGCTCGGAGACGTGCCCAGCATCATCCTGGCTAGCAGCGGGCTACATCTGAACTCAGAACTGGCTGTAGAATTCCTACTCTCCACCAGCTTCCCTGCCCCTAAAGGGCCAGAAATAACACCTGCCCCCAGTTATCCAGGGCACCCTAGGGCGCATCTCTGTGTTGACCAGTGTGAGTTGGTTTCCCTCAAAGCCAGCTGATAGGAACTGAACACATCCAGGCCAACAAGTTGGAAAAACAGCCCATCAGATGACGCCAAAGCTGTGACATTCTGAGGCTTCTTTTGCTAAAACTCTAAAAATGGATCATTCAAAAAAAAAAAAGAAAAGACAAAAATCCATTTGGGTTCCCAAGGCTCGTAGGCGGAGAACAGGGCAAACTGCTTTCCTGGTGCTGATGAGTAATTAATTAAGTGGTGAGGATTTTCGAGGGAAAGTTGAGGAGATGGGGAAGCGTGGGAAATGGGGCCAAAGGAAGAACAGACCACTCTCCAGCCCCCAGGGCACCACCTGACATGTACCATCTCCCATCAAGGGAGAGGGCAGCTCGGCTCACCCCACATCTCTGTACCATCATCCATCCTTCTCCATACCTGTTTTCTTTGCCATTTGGCAACAGGGAGGGGCGCTCAGCTCCCGGGCGTTCTGTACAAACATAGGTGTTTCTTCGGGTCATCATGCTGGGAGGGAGGTTGTTCTGTTGGGAGGTGTGGTTAGGAGAGGCGTGAGAATGGGGAAGGAGCACCCTCAAGGATCCCCCACTCCCACCCTCTCTGCACTTCCTCATTAGGAATGAGTCAGGGACCCGTGTGGGTACTGAGAGGAAGGAGGAGCTGGTTGGATGGAGGGGGAGGGGGGAGGCAAAAGAGCTAAGAGTCATGGGAAATCTTAGAGCTTAAGAGGAAAGGGGAATGTAGAAGGTAAAGTCAAAAAGGGTTTCCAGGAGGCAATCTTGTTACCTCTCCTCTCTCTGTTCTAGCCCGTCTGGATACTGTGCAGCCACACCACACCACAAAGTGTGTCCTCCTTCACGCACTTTGCCTCCCTGCCTTCTTAGCCTTTGCACAGGTTGTCATATCTATTTAGCACACTCCTCCGCCCTTTTCCCCCATTCCTGCATACTTATCTTTCATGTGTCAGTTCATATTATAACCATCACCCCCGGCCCCAAGCTAAGTCAGGTGCCTCCTCTGAAGCTTGATCATTTCGGATTGTCAATGTCTGCACATCTACCCCTTCGTGGGGCTTGCACTTTGCAGAAAGTATGGAAATTACGCCTTCTCACAGGAATATTCCCTCCTTCCCAGTCTCTGGCAACTTGTTTAAGGTTGATATTATCCCCTCCTGAATATTCCCTCTTTCCTAGTCTCTGGCAGCTTGTTTAAGACTGGTATCATCCCCTCCTGAAATGTTGAAAGGGAGTCCACCAGTCAATCCAGCTAGACTAGGCATTTTCCTTATGGAAGGGTTTTCAATTATGGACTCAAATTCCTATAAATATGAATCTAACATTTTTCAGCTTTTCTATTTCTTCTTGTGTCAGTAACCTGTGTTTTTACAATTGTCCTAGCCACCTAAAGTTGTCTTATTTATTTCTATTAAGTAGTTCCTGGTAGCACATTGAATTATGAGTTGGGTCAGCTGGGTCAGCTAGATCAGCAGTTTGAATCTGTGGGATTCAAGCCAGCCGCTCTGTGGGAGAAAGATGAGGCTTTCTGCTCCCATAAAGATTTACAGTCTTGGAAACGCTACATAAGGTTGCTATGAGTCAGAACTGGCTTTGTGGCACATAACCACCACCACCAATGTCTTCTTGGAGTCCTGGTGCGGTGCTGTAGGATAAGCACTGTACTGCTAACCAAAAGATCGGCAGTTGAAACCCATCAGCCACTCGTCAGAAACCCTATACAGGGTCATTATGAGTTGGAACTGACTTGTCAGCACTTTAACAGTAATAAATGTCTTAAGGAGCTGTGGTGATGCTGTGGATTAAGCACTGGGCTGCTAACCACAAGGTGGGTGGTTCACACTCACCAGGTGCTTCACTGGAGAAGGATGAGGCTGTCTGCTCCGATAAAGGTTTAGTTTCAGAAACCCTACACATAACGTCACTATGAATCAAAATGGACTCAAGGGCAGTGGAAATGTGTTCTTATCCTTTTATGACGAATTGAATGTTCCCTCTTTCATTTCTGATATTGGTCATTTGTGTCTGCTATCTTGTTTTCTTCATTAGTCTTGCCAAGGGTCTACTGATTTTATTACTCTCTTTGGCTTTGCTGATTTGCTCTAGAGTATATATGCTTTCTTCTTCATTGATTTCTACTACTTATTTTCTTCCTTCTACTTTCTTTGCTGTTAATTTGCTGTTCATTCCTTCTTAAGATGTGGGTTCATTGTAACAAGAACAATAGCTCCCATTCACTGAATGGTTACTCTACTGGACGCCTGTAAAACACTTCATGTACAAGATCTTGTAAGAGCCTCAGAATGAGCCATGTTCTTTGATGAACTCATCTCACAGGGGGGAGGAGACTGATGTTCTGAAAGGCGAAGTCACTTGTCCAATGAGATTCAAGCTCACGTCTGTGTGACTTCAGAGTCCAGACCCTCTTCTGACCTGCCTCCACCCTTGGATCCCCCTGCGGAGGAGAATTTGGCTCCCTCAACCCATACTGTAGCATTCTAGGGGCCCACAGAAGTGTAAAGGGAAATGCCGTAGTCCCAGACTCCTTTGCAGCTCAAGCTCTGGATAGGAATTAGGTTCCACCAACCTGTGCGCTCACTAATAAGATCTGGAAGTTGGAAAATGGTGTGGCAACCACCTTCCTGCCCACTTTGCTTCTTCTGTACAAGCAAAGGGACGAGACAGGAGGTTTTTCTTCAGCACTCTCCAGTGGCCACACTCCGGCCCTCTGTGTTGGAGAAGACATGTGGGCCTTGGACATCAGCCACAACCACCTGTTCTTGAAGTCAATGGGGGCAGGTGAGGCACGTGGCCTCAGTGGATGCAGCTCCCTTAGTGGGTCAGATCTTCTGTGTTGTCAACTCGCCTCGACTGATGGTGATTCCCTGTGTGTCAGAGTAGAACTGGGCTCCACAGGGCTTTCAATGGCTGCCTCGTCAGGTGTAGGTTGCCAGCCCTTTCTTCTGGGATACCTCTGCATAGACTTGAACCTCCAATCTTTTAGCAGCTGAGGGTGTTAACCGTTCACATTACCAGGCACTCCTGTTAATCTTGTGGGGTCCAACCTTGCCCATTCCTTCAGTTCTTCTGGTGGTTTAAGTACGGAATTTCCCCATAAGTCGTCAGTCTTTGGTGTTAAAAGCGATTACAGTACTTTCTGTTTATGACACTGAACGCTAAAATATATGTCAGCATCAAGCACGGAGCCCCAGAGAACACTCAATAAATTAATGTGTTAGGTAAGTGAATGAAGGGATAAAACAAGGAGTAGATGGCGTCTGCAGACAAACCTCCCCGTAGGCCCCGCCCACTCACAGGGGTGCTCGTGTTATCCTTCCGCCGTTCGGGGATCTCAGCCTTATTGGGGTTGTGGGCGCTGCTGACCATGGGGCTGGATGGGGGTAAACCTCGACTCCCGCCACCCGTGGTGCTGCAGCTCGCCTTCCGACTCGGCAGGCGCTCCTCCTTCAGCTCTGTCTCCCCGGTACTAGTCGGGCTGCGCTTGGGGTGCAGGGGCGTGGGGGACGGGCCACCTGGCGGAGGGGAGAGGAAATGGTGAGAGCCCTAGTCATCTAGAGCACCCAGCACCCACTCCGAGGTAGCAGTCTTTCTCCCTGGAAGCACGTCACAGAAACCCCCAGGCTTATTTAACATAGAGCATGAGCTGGGTTGCTAACCACACGGGCAACAGTAAGAATCTATCAGTGGTTCAGAGGAAGAAAGAGGAGGCCTTCTGCTCCCGTGAAGATTTACAGTCTGGAAACCCTCTATAGGGTTTCTATGAGTCAAAACGACTCAGTGGCACACCACCACCACCAGCTGGTCACTGGAGTCCTAGTATGGTGCTGTAAGATAAGCACTGGACTGAGTGATGAAAGGTCAGTGATTCAAACCCACCAGCCTCTCCTCAGAAACCCTAAACAGGGTTGCTATGAGTTGGAATCAACTCCAAGACCCTTTAACAGTGGGTGGCATCACTAGAGCTGGTGTCACGCAGTAACTTATGGAGTTAAAGCCCCCTGGGTGGGCATGGCTGGAAGCTGAACCAACACCCCCCAGGGTGGATCAGCCCAACCCTGCCCTAGCTGGGTCCTGGCTCCCCTCGGCCCTTTCTCCCATTGGTCAAGGCAGAGATCTTTCCTCTCTGACCAATGATGGGCCACCCATACACTGAAAGCCACAGACTCTAGCGTTATTTTGACTCCACCCCCTGACCCCGTCAGGGTTGGCAATTTGCAGGCTTCCCCCCACACCCCCAGTGATGGCATCGTAAGTCCTGAGTAGGCGTGGATAATGAGCAGTATGCTGTTGCTAGTTGTCAATAACTGGATTCTGACTCCTCGCCACCTCACATGTACAGAGAGAACTGCTCCAGCAGGTTTCCAAGGCTGTGACCTTTAAGAAGCAGGTCATCAGGCCTGTCCTCAGATGTGCCTCTGGGTGGATTCAATCTTTCAGATAGCAGTCAAGTGCTTAACTGTTCACATCACTCAGGGATCCTAGCAGCTACTCTGAGGGATCCTTGAAACCCTAGGAGATAATTTCTACGTAGGACATCCTGACAATATTTGTCAAAATTATAAGTACATATATAAGCCCCGCCCTCCCACCCCCCCAAAAAACAGTTGCTATGGAGTCAATTCCAACTCATAGCCACCCTACATGTGTCAGAGTAGAACTGTGCTCCATAGCAGTTTCAATGACTGAGCTATTTCTGTAGCAGATTGCCAAGACTTTCTTCCAAGGCACCTGTGGCTGAACTTGAATCTCCTCCAACTTTTTGGTGAGCAGTTGAGTGCACTTAAATTTCCATTGCCCAGGCTCTCCAAGCCCGCAGATGGTGTTATTTTATTAGGTGTGGTTGTAGATTGAGCCAGAGACTCCATGTCTGGGAACTGCACACACAAAAAATGACATCACCTATAAGCCTGCAACACTTTAAGATCAAAAGGTTGTGAAGAGTCTGAATGCCCCTTATGAGGGGGTCTGTCTAAAGAAATCAGGGTGTTTCTGCACAACAGATGATTATGCAGCTATTAAAAAAAAAGAACAAGGAAATTATTGATGGATTGATACAAAGAGATCTTCAAGACACTATATAAAGAAGAAATGGCAAGGGACAGGGTCTCCAATAGGGTGCGTGGTGACTGCAGAGGATAAACACTGGACTGCTAACCCCAAAATCAGCAGTTCGAGCCAACCAGCCACTCTGCAGGAGAAAGATAAGGTTTTTCTGCTCCTGCAAAGATTTAAAAAGCCTGAGAAACCCTATGTAAGGTCTCCATTGAGTCGAAACCAACTTGACGGCACTGAACAACAATAAGTGGGTCTCTGGGGGGCGGTCATTTGTACACAACAGGGGAAAATTAAGAGGCTTTCTGTTCCCGTAAAGATTTACAACCTCGGAAACCCTGTACAGGGTCGCTATGGGATGGAAACAACTCCACGGCACATCACCACCACCACCAGAAATCTATTTCGCTATTGTTGTTGTTAGGTGCCACCAAGTTGGTACCGACCCATAGCGACCCTATGCACAGCAGAATGAAACACTGCCCAATCCTAAGCCAACCTCACTACTGTTGCCACGCTTGAGTCCGTTGATGCTGCCACTTGGCCAATCCATCTTGTTGGGGGTCTCCCCCTCTGTCTCTGACCCTCCACCTTA